GCAGGAATACGGCTGAAAAGTATTGATTACTTTAAAAGCCCCTAATAACTGAAGAACTATTGACTTAATATTTTCTCTAATCCTCCATGAAATTTTACAGTAAGTCCTGATGAATTTTTTGCTAAGGGTTTTAGGGCTGAACTATATCACGCGCTTATCTGAAGTGTCAGCTCCCAAGCTGATCCTGCAGTTGGTCAGACCTGGGTTAGAGGTGAGTAATAACGCTGAAGGTTTAAGTGTCATTTTAGGCGCTCTGGAAATAGATAGGTTTTTCTAACGTGCATCACTCTATAACTTTTGCCTTTTAAATAATCTGCATAATCGGTGCCTAACCTGAGTTTATTCAGTGGAAACATTGGTCCTGTTCCTAACTACTTAGCTATAGCTGTCCTGAAAAGTCTCTCAGCACGGTACAACTATTTTGATAGCCACGTTCATTGCTTCTCCTTTTCCCATCACTCACACACGGACAATCGACATTTCTCACGTGCCAGTAAGTGATATTTATCGAAGTTAAATAACAAACAGACCAGCCAGCAGCCGGGCTGTGTTTCCCCAGGACTGCGGCCCTGCAGCAGAGAGAAAAACGCAGCGTGGCAGAGAGTCATTTTGGTGCATGCTTAACTTGTAGGGATACTTTCGGGCCAAGATCCTGCTGCACACTTATCTGTGGCGGCTGGTTGGCAACTATGCAATCCCTCAGAGGGGAATGACTTTGGTTATGCCAAAACCCACCCCGCCGGGGTCCCGACTGCCGACACAGAGCGAAAAGCTTTGCACGCCAGCAGCGGTGCCCTTGAGCCAATTCTGCACAGTTTAAGCTTATTTACAGAAATGCTTTCAGTATGTTGCCACCTACCATCAGGATTATGAGGCAGGTCTCTTTGCTCTTTGGAAAGAAAATAAAAGACTTTTTTAGATTAAGAAAAACCTAGCTGAAAAAATGCTACAGAGGGAGACGTGCCATTACAGCTCGCGCTCTAATTCACATCCTTTCCATCCCTCGAGCAGCATAAAGGGGCCTCACTGAGTTCACTCACATCTCCACAGCCCTCTTTATATTACCAAGGTGACGTATAACGGGTTCCTGCCAAGAGGAGCTGACCTTTTTTTCCCCCCCCCTTATTCTAATAAAACTAAGGACTTCTCTTGATCCCGTGAGTTATACCTCATCCTTAGTGACTGCTTTTGGCTCGATGCTATGACCGCTTATTTATGAAAGTACCGTTATTGCAAGAGCAAGTGCCGTCCGCACGGAGGGGACGGCGTCAGCAGGTGAGCCACGCGCCCTTCGGCAGGCCGGCGGGCTTCACCGATCCCCTGGACCGCTCTGGCCTCCACCGGAGACCGGGCTCGAGCCAGCTTCAGCAAACGGTGATTTTTCAGACAATTCTGAGCGCTGAGGCAGAAAGAAATCGCCCACGCTCACGATTCCTTTTTTTAAAATGCTGCCTGCGTCCCTTAAACATAAAAAATGTTCAAGTCATTACTAATTCCGGCAAGTTTTCCTTCAAGCAAATGCTGGCGTACGAGTTTAGGACGCACAAACGCGTAGCCGCGTTTTGCCCTCTGCTTGGACGTGGCAGGTTTCTTCCTCTGCAAGCCCGGGAACGGCTCTTGGGAGCAGCCCGGGACCTGCCCGGGGCGAGAAGCATCCGAGCACCGCCACCTCTGCTCGCTCCGGGCCCAAGAAGCGTAATGCAAATGGAGCCGAGATTAAACATAGCTTTTAATGGGTCTGCAAATACTTATCCTGGAGAAAAACACCAGAGCATAAACTCATTATTTACTACTGAACAAACTTTCTGTTTTTTCAGATACGGCCTGCTCGTGTTCAGCTACAGCGCTGCCTCTGTAAATGACTTCCCACAGCTCAGGCAATATTATAGGTGCTTCTTTCAAAAAAATAGACACATTTTTGTGCTTAGGCATAAAACAGAGCACACCGCCTCACAAAAAGAAAGAAGTGTGTTCTGCCCCATTCTCCTGAAAGTGGGTGATGATGCCCACAGAAATCTTCCACTCTGAAGATCTTGGTCCACATGCCACAGCTCAGCTCTGAATCAGTAATTAGCAATGTATTCAAGGGATCGAGTCTTTTTTTTTTTTTTTGCTTAAGAAATCCTTTAGGGGCATCGTTTTCCCCAAACCTATGAGTTACTGGAACGTATTTAGCACATCTCTTTTCAAAGGTCCGGCCCAATGGGAAGGTCACAGACGCTCAAATTCCCAGCTGTGCCCAAGAGTGATTAGTTCGATAAGTTACTTAGCGGTCGCCCTCCTTCCTGACTGGACGTCTGCTCAGACTCTCCTGCAATGGATATCTGGAACGGCGAGCCAGGAAGAATCACGCGTTCTTCAATGAGACTAGTTTTGCTACCGGTCTGCTCTGCAGCGCTTCTGTGCCGTCCCGCGCGGCACACACAGCGGAGCGCTCAGGGGCCCGCTCAGCCCCGGGAAAAATTCATTCACATGCTCATCGCCTTATAAAAACTGCCAGTTTTAATAAGAGAGAATCAACGAAGGAAAGCTTTGTTCAGATATGCTGCCCTTTTCTCTACCCTGCCTCAGGCTGAGCTGCAGGAGCACCTGGGAAGAAACCACGATCAGGACTGGACCTCCTCCTCCTGAAGAGTCATCTTCTCACACTTCTTAAACACCAAGTAATTTAACGTCTTAGACATACTACTGCTTAGCTAGTCGTACTTGAAGAGGTTTACTTTGGATTGCTATCCATGTGCATGGCCAACTCCAAAACAAGAAGAAGTTCTCCGACTTCTGTTTGAAGGTGCCCAGCTCTGACTTGTCTCTTAGATGGCAATCAATCATCAGACCTTATCGTCCCCCATACTCACTGCACCGTCAGGGTGCTACGCGCTGACCTGACCCTACGGTGCCTTTGCTCGGGCTCTCGAAAGTCTGGCGGCTCAGTCCTGGAGCGCGACACCTCCGCGCCGCCACCGAGCCTGCGCGATCGCGACCATCCTTCGACTGTGACCATCGCAGGTCTCCTCAGCTGACAAACCAAAGAACCAGCATGATTTCCTCCTTAGTCCTTTTCCTTTTGCCCACTACCATGTGCACAAAATAATATAACTGCGCATTGCTTTGTGATGCGGAAATAACGAATTGTTCAGATGTTTATTAAACAACAGAGTTGAATCTAATTAGTCGCATTATGTTGTCTGGAGTATAAAAGTTAATTGGAAGACACAATGATTTACTAAAGCTTGAAATTCCAAATGGGTTTTTGAGTAAGTTAATGACAACTAGAATCAGAATGTAACTGCGGAAAACGGAAATCTTATTTTAATTCCTACCAAAGCACTTTTGTAAATGAGCTTGCTCTTGACTCATTGTGAGAGGTTTATCACAGCTTGGTTCGCTGTTACATGTTTAAATGTAATCCAAGGGTACTTTAAATAAGGCGACCAAATCACATTCATCATGGGACACCAGAACAGCAATTAAATCTTTCTAAATAAAGCACATACATGAGGAGAGTGAGCGGGGCAACTGTGAGGAATTTCCTGGACAAAGAAAGACCAAGAATGACAATCACTGCCTGTTAAAGAAGAGGAAGAAGACGATGAAGAAGGAGCATCTGGTCACAGAGGTGTTGTTGGCTTCAAATCCAGCACTCAGCAAAATTCCCGTACAGTTTTCCCAGGGGGTTTTTGCTCTGGTTAGGGCTGCAGCTTTCGGGCTGGTACGCAGAAACACAAACTGAACGAATTCTAGGTTACAACAAAAAAGTCACAGTTAAAAATAGACCAAAAAGCCAACATCGTGATTCAGCTGCACTTCCAGCACAAGCCGGGCTGCGTTGCTGGGGGACGTGCACAAGAGGGCAGGCAGCCCACAGTGACCTGACATCTGAAGTCCCCATCACACCAGCCAAGAGGCTGGTGGGACTGAAGCAGTGCCAGGGAGGGCGTCCCGGAGGCCACCCGCCGTCCTCTGCTCCGTAGCCCCCTGAGGAAGCTCAAGAGAGGTCATCTCTGATCCACCACATCACATATGGGCTGAACATCGTCTCTGAGGACAAGCTGAGCAGCTGGATGCACACACGGAGACCCACACCAAATCTCTGCCTCCGACCCTGCCTGGCAGCCCTCCTGCCCCTCCTGCAAACCTTTTGCACAAGCAGCCTCGCTGGTTTTCACGGGGACGTGGAAGCCACCATGCAGCACGGCAGCACTCGGTCCGGAGCACGTCTTGCACGGGGATGCTCAAAAACGGGCAGAGGAGACTGGGACAAATCGCACGCTCGTCCCTTCCCCAGCACCGTGGCACAGCCTCGCTGCCGAGGAACATCTCGGGGAGATTTTCTTCCGTCAGCTCTCACGTGGGACATCTGCACTTGCTTATACATCCCCACTGTGCTGGCCCTGGCCTCAAAGCGCAGCCTCGCCCTGCGCCGGGAATTATTTGACATATGCACCTCTGCTAATTAGCAACGCATGCAGCTAATGCCCCTGAGCTCCCCTCGGTGAAGCACACGCGCCAGGCCTGGCCTAATGTAAATGCAAAATGTCACCACCGCCATTTCAGAAAAGCCAGCACGACATTTTCAGAAACGCTTCCTGTTGTTTTGCAGGCTTTTCCGGTAGAGGAGGCACATCTGCAGAAAACGCCGGCGTACTTGTTCCCTAGAACACAGACCAATAGCAGGAAGGGATCCAAATCCTTTTACGACCCCGCGCTAGTCCACGGAGTCCAACGAACGCTGCAGAAAGCTAAAACCGGATTTATGCTGCACGTAACTGAAGGGAAAACGCGGGCCGTCAACAGCGAGGCTGAACTCCGTGGAAGGAGGTGGAAAGGCGGCGTTCCCGCGGGAAGGCGTTTCGCCCAGCCTGCGAAGAGCGCGCCACCCGAGCGGCAGTCAGCCGCCACGTGGTGCAGGTGGCCTCCCCGGCAGCCCCCGAGGAAACCAGAAGCCGTGGTGGGTAAATGGCTAAGGAGGAACGCAAGCTGCTGAGGAAAGAGATGTTTATTTTCAGTATCCTAGGAGTATTTCCAACAGTGGAGAGTAATTAAAAAAAAAAAAAGAGAGAGAGAGAGAAGGAAAGAAAATACCCTCGCAGCGCAGCGAGGGCTCCCCGGTCCTTAGGAGACCCGGTGGCCCTCAAGGGACCTGCAAAGGCCTCACTGATTTCATCCCGGTTCCCGATGGAGGGCGGGGAACTAAATTCTCTTGAGCTTTTTGAGGTTTTTTGTTTTTTTTTTCCCCTTAATCAGGATAGCACAGACATTTTGTGAAGACGTTTTTGCTGTTCTCGAGAGACGATCAAATTGCCCCATCGCGTCAGGCCGGGAAAGATAATCTGCTCTTGGCAACTTTCCCTCCTCCTCCTCCTCCTCTCCATGAAACTTTCCATCCCTCCTCCTCCTCCTCCTCTAGCAAAGACAGGAGCCAGCTGATATTAAGAAAGAAAAGGCCTTTTCCTTCCCTCTTCCTCCCCACCGTAACACTGATGAGGGGCCCCGTTTTCCATTTCTCCTCTGTTTTCTGCCACCGGCGTTGAGGCGTGCTTCGCCGGCAGCGGGGGCAGGCCGGCGAGCGGGCCAACGCTGCCTTTGGGGACGCTAATCCAAGCCACACGCGCTGAGGACCGGATCCTCACGGCATTTTGTTACCAGCCTCTCTTTCTCCTTCATTTCTTGTTAACTTCTCTTTCCCGCTGACCCCTTCATCCTTGTGCCCAGCAGGATGGTCACCGTTTATCCGAGCGTCTCCGCCTGCGGGCTAACGCGCCTCACCAGCCCGGCTTCAACGTTTGGCTTCTCCTGCCCTTTCTCGGCCTAAAATGGCCCAGGACTGAACGGCATGGCAGTCCTTTCGTTTTAACACACCCTTACTTTTCCCCGACTGCTCTTCCACGAAGTCCTGTAGGTCACACGCGGCGCCGGGACCAGGCCAGTCCTGCAGCTCCGGTATTTTGCGAACGCGGGGCCCCCGCGGAGCCGGTCGAAACTCACTACGGCTTTAAAGATCACGCCTTTCCACACCCGCCTGCCCTCACAGAACTGGAAATTAAAACTATTGACATCTTCTGGATTACTTTTCTTCAGTGAAAGATAGACTGTTGTTACAAGGGAATTATTTTCTAGTACGAATTCTTGAGACGTTGCTCTACCTCCTTGTTCCTCTTTAAGGACAGAGGAAAAGAAAAAAGACTACAAAGCGCTATAAGCAAAAGAAAGAGCCTCCCTGTACTTCTTAAAATATGTGGAGAAGGGAAAAATAACAGATTAGAACATTTTTCCAGTGAAAAGTTGAATTCAATTCAAATTCTTCTAGAATACGCAAAGCAGCAAAACTGTCAAGCGTTGCCCCAAATTTTTTTCCTACATTTCGTAGTTTTCACAACCACCTCCAAACCCTCCTCGGCTTCCAACCTTCGTACTAAGAATCCACGAAAGACAGAGGCCCAGTCACGGGGTACAGGTTAGGGGAGACTAAATCCTGCTCCAGCAGCGCTCGTTCCCCCTCAGAATTGACCAAAAAGTGGGGTTATCCCTTCCAACTATTCACGGGAGCCCTCCGAGTAACAGAAAAATTGCCCTTGACCTGGAACATGACCCCAGTGAATGCTGTCACATATACACTGACCAGAAAGACAGCGGTAATTTAAGGAAGGGTAAACAAGGAGGACAAGGTTTTATAGGGATCTAAATAATTCTTGAAATAATACCTACGGCATTGGAAAGTCCCCTCCATTGCAACTAGCATTTGTGTTTCTTCCTTTAGCTCTCGCTCTCATCAGTATTGCAAATTTAATGACGCTGTGAAGCTCATTTATTGAGGTTGGCTTGCTCTCAAGCAGCAGTTCTCTAAGAGCTGGCTACTGTGCCGAATGTTTTAACAAACGGCATCAAAAGCCCCCTGCTTTTTTCTTTGCAATATAGCATGTTTTTAATAACAGTTTTTAGTAACTACCAGCCCAACCAACATCGGTACAATTCCAAATACTTCATAAGCTCCTACGTGCCATCAAATATCTCTGTCAACGTTCGCTCATTTTTCCTAGTTTTCCTAATTGCCCAAACTAAACAGCGAAGACGCAAGACGTTAGACTGCTTTGGCCACTGCCTTTTGAAACCTTGCTTTCTCTGCGACCACAGCCTGCAGTGAAGCACAGGTGAGAAGGTGGCGGTCGGCAGCTGACCGCTGGCTGACGACAGCGGAAAAGCCGGCGCCGAGCTTTGCGAGGGCAGATGGTAACCCAGCCTCGGCTGCCCCAGGCATCCCCAGCGCGGACCTTCACGCAAGGTTCGGCTAGAGGTACTGGCGTGCACGAGGGGACGCGGGGCGGCTGGAGGGACTTCAGTTCCACCTAGCAGGCCGCGACGCGGTGTAATTAATAACGGTGAAAACTAGTCTGCAACCTGCGCAGCGAGGTGAACTCGCTGCATATGCGCTTGCTAGTGCCCTGCATGAATGTATTGACCTAGTTTTCTGACAATTCCTGGATTTATACTTACGAAAATATACTGTACTGGCTTTTCAAAATACCTACCAGAGAAGGGAAATAGTGTTATACGTACCTGCTGTGTCCTTTTTCAGCTGCCACAGTTTTTATATGGCTTAGCTGCATGAAATTAAATGCAATAAGGCTCCTACAAAGCTCATCTACACACTCCCTATTAATTCCGTAACACCTCCCATCAGTGCATCATTGAAGGTAAAAAGCTATGTCTTTCCAGGTCTGCTAAGTTACGCCTATTTTAAGACGGCAGGGCACCTCGGCAGCAGACCGCCTGTGCTTCGCGCGGGAGGGAGTTTGCGCGGACTCCTGTTCCCCACGGCACGCGCAAGCGTTAACCACGAAGCCAGCTGCCTTGCAACGTACTGTCCTCTTCTTTCCGGTTGGCTCCGCTCAGTCCCTGTGCTCAGCTGCCAAAAGCTGCATCGTTCGGCACGAAGCACGACCACCCGGGAGCCCTCGTCAACAGGTTCGCCCGGCCAGCTGCAAACCGGCGGCTCCCACGCCACCTTTCACAGCGCGACGGCTCCCGTCTCCTCTCCCAGTGACAGCCAGCGTAGTTACTACTTGCCTGGAGGTGGCGACATTAGAAAGAGCAAGAGATGCCAATCCTGGGCGCAGCTGGCTGGGTCCCGACCGCCTGCGCAGAGCTGCCGCTCCATACCCGCGTCCAGCCTGGATGGGGGAGCAACCATGAAACCGTCACCAAAATTCACATGCCAACAGCTCATGCATCAGGCAGAGATAAAACCACCCTACGTACCCTGAAGAGGTGAGAGGGATGAACGTACAAATACCTTTTCTTTCTCTTCTTCACGTGTTAACGGCCTTTGTTTTCCGCGCTCCGGCAATAGGAGCAAAGTGCCTCTTCTGCGGATCCGGGCGACCCGGTGGACAAGCCTGGAGAGGTGCGAAAACGCAGGTGTGCAGATTTCAACCCAGCGCAAAGGCATTTTTATATTGCTGAACCCCTCCTCTGCAGTAAAAGCAGCACAACCCGTTGCCACTGTGTTAAGCAGCACTGATTTCCTCCCTGAGGGCAGTAAAAGAAAAGGCAAGCTCACGGCAAGTCCTACACATCGGTGGTGCAGCGTAGACCCCACGACAGGAGAAACAAACGACTGTAGCCTGTTCCCTCGGCGTTTTGAGCCTTGCTGCCCGTCCTGGCGGAAGTGAGGCCATTCTCTGTGAAAACAGATTGGAAGCTGCCTTCCTCTTTCTGCAAAATAACACATTAAAAAAACCCTTATAGGCTATTCAGTTCAGTAGGGCCATTCCAGCCAAAAAGTCATACTTATTCTCGTTCTCTACCATGGACATGATAGAGGCAAGGCCTTTGTCACTGAACAGCAAACTTCAAAGGAATGAGAAAAACTAGAGGAGGAAAACAAACATCTAAGTATGCTAGAGAGCTCCTGGTCTCCGCTGATAGCACCTTGTCAGCTCCGGGAGCCCTGTTACGTCCTTAATCTAAACAGTTCACACTAATGAAGTCAACCAGCATCTCAGAAATACACACAGGTGTTTATGTCATCAAATTGTCACATCATTGTGATTTAAAAAACCTTTACCTCCATGGCAGAAGTAGTCATTTTAGCTACGTTTTTAGAATCAACATATTTAAGTATCTGAAGAGAGCTGACAATCTTTACTTTCATGCAGCGTAAGGCACAGCGTGGGTCTGCAGCGCCTGTTGAAATATGTACTGTGCTTCTGCTTGGAGACTGCAAGGCTACCCTAAAGCTCACAGAAATACAATATCCCTCCACGTCGTTCCTGCCTGCAACATTCAAACGTGTTCTCTCCCGATTCAACCTTGATCAGTTTTTGCGTGACTTCTTTTGTGCTGCGTTTGAGTATTTAGAGTCCCTGTAGTCAGCACGGGGACAGAAACCGAGACCACGGTGGGTTTTGGGTGGCCACCATCCACGTAGCATCAACTGTCCCTAGATGCAGAGGACTCCACTTTCAAGAGAGATCTAGTGATAACTCTTCTCTAACTACCTTTATGGGCCCTGCATTTGCCAATATGTTTGTGTGAATCCTCATTTCTGGTGGCGTAACAAGCATATATGCTTTTCACAAACACATCCAGTAGGTGCTAGATTTAACATACAATGAAAAGCACCCAAAGAACAGATGGAGCAGGGCTTTTAAAACCCCCAAATAAACACTTATTTAAAAATAGATGAAAGAGACATTTAATTTAGTTCAAAAGGTTGAAATGAACCATTAACAAATCTAGACTCATCTAAATACCTGCTTGTCATGTATATTTAATTTTCCCGATTACGTTTCCGTCTGGTTTGTGCTCTGCACTTGCACAGTGATTGCGGTGTGTCCTGAAGTGCCTGACGGTCCGGAAGGACCTTATGGCATGCCCAGACATGGAAGAGGAGATTTCTGACCAAAAATAGATGCCCACACCACTCCAAAGTCAGTCCCTAAGTGGGAACCAGTGTGTTTGGCACAGAGAGAATGTAAAAGCAGGGGCATATAAGAGGGCAGCAACGTTATATATGCATGACATTAAAAAAAAAAACTATTGAAGATTGTTTGGTAGAACTCATCACAGTGTGGCTCAGTGCAATAAAAAAAAAAAAAAACCACTATTTCCTTTCTTTTTCTTCAAATTAGGACCCAGTTTTGGAAAATGCAGCATCTTGTAAAGAACCAAACCTCACCAGCTCCGCAGAGTCGAATCCACTCGCTGAGCGGCCGGGGGAGCCGGGGCTGGTCTGCGCAGACCTCCGTGGCGTGGGGAGCGTCTACGCCGGGCAAGGTCTAGGTGTGCGAGATACGAATCATTTCATTAATATCAGATCACATGCAAAATGTATTTTAAAAGTAGCTGATCAACAAATCGCTGATAACTCTAACGTGAGCTAACACGCGGTGTTCATAGTTACTCTGCATGCAGATTCCCCACTGCTGCTCTCAACCTATTTTCTTTCCAAATCTATTCATTATTTATTAACTTACTTTTCTTCAGAATTCTGGATGATCATAATTTCCTCTCTCCTGGGTATGACTTTTCCTGCTTTCTCTTGTTAAAACGTAGGCAGGAACTCGAACACACACTCGCCTGCCCTGTAGTTGCGTTAACCGGTGGGCAGTAAGGACGGGAGGCGGCTTTGCTTTGTGTCCTGGGAAAGGGAAAGGGAAAGGGAAGAGGATATGGAAACTCCTAAGTCATCGTTCCGCTTTTGTTTCTGGCAACGGGAAGTTTTTCCCAAGTTGGCTACCCTCTCCGGGACCGAGTTCCCCCTTCAGAGGAGGTACTTCGGCGGCCCCAGCACTAGAGTGCACAAGATCCTCAGACTCTTAAATACTTTTCCCTTTGCAGCCTCCTGGGAAAGAGGCTTTTCTTCCAGTTGAGGTACTGCAACACAAAGGGATTAAGACCTGGCAGTGCCTGACAACACGGAGAAACTGCTTTCTCAGGACAATTTGCATCTTAAACACTGGGGCACTCTGCCTGCCTATGTACGGTTTGAGACTCTTCGGGAGTTTTCTGTATCAGAAAGAGACACCTACGGCTTTCACCCTCACTTAGCTCTCCAAGAGATGCGGGGAGAGCTACTGCAGGCAGGTTTGCCAGCCTAGCTGTGCTAACGAGGAGCGTGAAAATTCACCCTACTAACTGGGTTCGTTATGCAAATAAGTTACCGCATGTAGATTCAACTTACGCGAGCCCCCAAAAAAGGGTCTCTTTCTGATGTGTCGCTTGGCCAGATGTTTTTCCCGTGTTGGGGAAAGGTTTCATTTTTCACTCCAAGCTGCCTCTCCAGCGGAGAGGACGTGTGGTGTCAGACTCCTAACTAAGCCTGGCTCTCAGCGGGTGACTCTCCGAAGTGCACACCCTTTGCGTGCAAAGTGTCAGATGTACCCAATTTCCTTACACAAATTTGAGACATAAACAAGAACTTAAATCATAAAATCACTACTGTTTTGGTTAGTGGCAGGAAAATTTGTATTTAAGACAACACTACAACCAGGGGCCCTGATTATTCCCGATTTTAAACCAACTTCCAAGAAAAAAACCTGAACAAAAGGTTATTTGGGAGTCCAGAGTCTATTTTCTTAGGTGGTAAACCACAGGTACCCAAAGAATAAAGGGACAATTTCTTCATGTTTCTGAGTTATGGATTAGAAAAATAGTCCTAGCTACACTGATCAATGTGAACTTCAAAGAAAAACATGGACCATCTATTACATTTTCTCCCAATTACTGTCTTTTTGCTGAGAATTGCACTTTATGTGCCTTCTAGGCTTTCAAAAAAGGGAGCAGGACAAAAAAAAAGCTTATGAGAGTGTTTTACCTTTTTATGGAATCCAAGCGCTATATAGCCAGTTAAGTTCTGAACTGCGGTTGCAGATGGGACCAGTCCGATGGTCTCTACAGATCTATGTGAAAAAGCTTCTCATTTTGTAGCCAATGGAAGTATAGGAGAAAGGGATTAAAATGTAATTTTGGGTTGATTCTCCCCAACAGTTCCATTGGCAACACATTTGAAAAACTTACTCCAAGGTGGCTGAGTAGCTTTTGTCCAACCAGTTAGGCTTTACGGATCTCTAAAGCCCTTTAAGATTGCATTTTAGCTACCTGTGAAATGAAAGCACCATCCTGAAAAAAAATTTAAAAACATCAGTCAGTCTTTTCTGATCACTTTCTTCCCTTTTTGTTCAAAATCATTTCACAAATTTGAAAATAATTTATCTTATTTTTTTTAGGTGAGCTTTGGCTCTTCATTGTGTTGCTTCAGTCCAACAAATTTCTGGTACCTGATTTTGGAAAGGAAAAGGAGGACTGATCGTTTCCTCCTTCTTTTCTACTGATAGCTACAGATAAAATACGATTCTATCATTGTTCTCTCCTTAAGAGGAATTGTCCCTTCCTCCATAAGCTAATTAAAATGCAGAATTATACCTGAAGCCAAGAAAGCACTGGAAACTATGAAAAACAGCTTTTTTTTTTTTTTTGTAAGTCCAGACCATGAAGTGCTCAGCAGTTCCCATTGCCCTTAATTGCCTCTGCTGGACAGTAAGCATTTGCTGGCCTGCAATTTCTTCCTGCTTCGGGACATTTCACACATTTGCTGTTTAGGGAGGCAAAGGCTCTCAGCACCTCAGAAGCGCTCTCAATAGCGGGCAGGACCTGGCCTTTAAACTATTTCCTTCACCTTGCACAGTCGCTATGCAACTGAAATAGCAAATTATCCCATGCTTTGTCTCCAACACTTCCCTGACATGTCACACAAAGGTGGTATGTCTGACCAGGGGCATAGTCCTCCTTCCCTGCATGTGTCACCTCCATCAGCATTAGCAGTGGCCGCATGCAGGCCTTGAAAGGAACGTCTACCCCTTTGTGACCCGTTTGGTTTAACTGCAAATGGCACAGAATTAAATGACCTGATCTTTAAAGATCATTAACAAGTCTTTATTCTCACTGCCGTGTAAGTATGAAATCACCCCTGTGGTTACCCGGAATTAGACGTGGCTTTATTTTGCAGGGCTCAGATAACAATAGATTACATTCAGGAAAGCATGCAACAATTGTCTCCGAAATCAGTCCACAGGCAGGGGGACAGGTGAACCAGACTGGAAAAACTGAAAATTTTTCTCCCACTCCAAATGCTGCCTCCTTAACTGACATCACCTTGATATTTTTCATGTCCTTATTCATTTGTGTTACATTTTCTCACACAGTTCCGCTTCTCCCAACACCCAAAGAGATCAAAAGCCCCAAAATACTGCGTGAAGGCAATTCTAGAGAGAGCGCTTTGCCAGCGCCAGGCATCTGCGCTCGTTTCTGAAAAAGCAGGCTTTTTAAAGTAAAGCAAGTACTTCGATGGAGCAGGGCCAGGCTGCTGAGCCTTGTGCACGTACAAATCAGAACAACGTAAATTGTCCCTCAAGAACAGGAAAAGTCAAGCGCTCAGTTTTTCATGGTGCATCCAGGCAATCGGGCTTTCTCTGGCAGTGATATAATTCTCCATGAATGCAGTGCCTTGCACTTAATGCGCCACTTCTCAGCACCTTTCACCCTGTTGCATATTGCTAAGCACAAAACTTCAAGCAAAACTCGCTGTTCAGTGAAGACTCTGATCACGCATCTTCGTGGGAGGAGGAGGAACAGGTTACTTCTGGCAGCAACGGAGAGGAGAGACAAACGGCAGAAAGTTCTGATCTGTCACTGAAAATGACTTCTTTGTGCTGACATAAATACTTCCAAAAGAGAGGCAGCAGTCTGTAGGAGCGAAACCATAACTTTAACTGAGGCTGATCAATGTTTCTGATTCAAAAATCGTTTAATTTAAGGGAATAAAATCTGATCTCGGGACTCCTGCTAGGAGGACTATTTTGTTCCAGTGCCAACCTGCACTGCATTACAGCAGCGGCTTGGATGAAGGGTTTCCTAAACATGGTTTTGAATTGTGCCTCGGCCCTTATTAATGCAACATCCTTCCCTTTAAGTGACATAGCCCCACGGAAAAAGTCAAAGCAATAAGTATAGGCATTTCACAAAACAAAATGACTATTAACATTACTAACTTTAAAAATAAATAGTTTAACAAAACAACTCAGAGCCAAAATATAGCTGCTCTATTAACATCTGGATTTAATTTTAAAGTAAATAATCCCATGTGTTTACATTAAGCTTGGTGGGCATTTACAGCACCTGACATGGAGAACAGCAGAGGCTACAAACACATCCAGAATTCAGGTAAGTCTGCCCAAATGCTCTGGGCTCCTCTAACCAAAAGCAGTCTTGTTAGTCACGGCTACACAAAACCGTAATTTGTACGCAGTCACATTAACGACAATTTTGCCTGAAAAGTGCACCTGGGTTGGATGGCTGCCAGCTGGAAAGAAGCTTTGTATGGGGAGGTTAACATGTTTGCTTGCGGAAATTACAAAAAAAAAAAAAAATCCACGCTCATATTTCATTCTGTAACAAGGTTACAGAACGAGGTTATTTGGGAGGTTTTTAACAGGGAAGACTACAGTCTGAAATCTTACCAGCCGGCTTTGCAACTTCAGCGTTTCTCGCAGGCTGAGCTGGACGAGGTCCTGAGCAGTGCTTCCTCCAAGGAAAACTTCCAGGATTTGGTTTCACTGATTCAGCCATTTCACACCCCAGAGTGAAGGGATGCTACTCTTCAAAAGACCGTTTTGGGGACAAACCAAGCGGGGCCACACGGGGAGCGTGGCAGTAGGACAGGCGGGGAGGCGCAGGGAGCTGAGGACACCCCGTCACTGCCAAGGCACAGGACAGAGCCATTCAGAGGACAGTCACACACAGGACAGCACCTGTGTCATTGATGCATCCTAAGAAGGAAGCTGGTTTGGTCATGTGGTGATTTACATGCTACCACCCCAGGCCTTTTGGACAGTATTTTTCCTCTCCTTCCAAAATCCTCTTTATACAAAAACTCATAAACCGCCACGGAAGTACTTGCATGCCACTAGGTCTGCAGCCGTTTCTGCACACACAAGGTCCATGTCCTCTACTCCTGAGCCAATGCCGAGAAACCTGAGAGAGGGGTTTCTCCTGACTTCCTCAGATGGCACAGGAGCCCCTGAGGACGGTTATGAAGTCTAACCGCCCGTGCTACTGGAGCACCAAAAGCTTCAGGCGTGGATCAGGGATTATGCGGAGGTTCCCTGGCTCTGTGGGCAAAATTCGAGATGTTGAGTGGCTACTCAGCACACAAGGCTTGATCATAGCGCAATGAGGCAAAGCTCAGCCCTCAAAACAACTGCCTGAAGCAACCTACCCTCTCCCCACCACGTGTCGCGGCAGGACTAGCTCTCGCAGCCAAGGAGGCTCTTCAGAAAGGATCTGGAGGTGACCACGGCCACAGCTGAAGCTTGGCATCGCAGAGACGCGGTGGCTGCTGGGATGATGGTCCCCTCCGAAGCCTGCAGGGAGACCAGGGCAAGGCTCTGCGAGTCTTCCCCAGTCCATTCCCCAACGAGTGCCGACCTCCCGCACGACCATGCAGCTCAGGGAAAGATTTCTGGTGTTAAGGACGCCAGCGGATGTCCTTTCTAACCCTGTGCTGAGGCTTTCTGCTAAGTAACATACCTGGCTGATTTTACATGCCTACTTCTGAACTCATCTTTAAAAAGAAGATGTTCTTTTGTCATTCTCAGCTGGGAAAATCCTCTCCCACCAGGTTCCTGGCTGGCTTTCACGTGGAATAATCTTCTTGCAAACAGGTTTAACTTTCTGACGCTTCTCTTCAGTTCGACAGATAAAACTGTGTTGAACAGTGGGTTAAAAAAATTGTTTTGGGGGCAATTAGTCTGTAAGAATAATTACCTAGAGAGTTCTCACAACTGAAAAAGATCTTGGCTCTGCTGACACCCCGACTATGATAAAGGACTGAAAAAGAGTCTAGCTTCCTTGCTGCCATCCGAATCCCCTGTGGCTCACACAGTATATAACAAGGCTGCTTTGTTTTTCCGACACATGCCATTTCCTCACTATCTGGGTGTACATGCTACACACATGAGTTTGCACAAGCTGAATTTTTGCCTGGTAAGTAAACTGTCAATTGCCCAGTAGGTCTCCTCTCCTTTTTTTTAAATGGCAAACTAGATTTTCCCAGAAATAAAGGAT